CGGGTTCGTGGCTCCTATCAGGTTTTCCTCAGGAGGCTCAGCTGTACGGGACAGTTGCATGAGAGGGGAGGACCTCTCTCTATCTCTCGCTCCTTCTCCCTTTACCCCGGCAAAGCTTGCAGCCAAGCGGTGCCTGCTTGCAATCCGCGATTGCGTCTTCAGTGGAGCTAAGCGCAGGCTCCCTTGCAGTATTCTGTATACTTGTTGTGGTCTCCTATAGTTGCGGAGGCTTTTATGAGCTGACCGGAAGCCTGCTGACCAGTTACAATTTGTTTCCGAAGACTCTTGAAACTTGCTTTGTTGCATTGGAGCCGAAAGTGCTCCGCAGCATAGCATTGAACGTGTACTTCCATTTGCATCGTCAGTGCTTCGGGTGGTGACTGCAACTCAATCGAAAATCGCAAGTACAATCGATGCTGGGCAACCTAGAGTGAGTAGCTTGAACCACCGCAGCCGGAAGCCCCACGGAAAGTCCTCGGCTGGAGGTTTAAGTAGCCAAATGTCTATAAGCATAACTCACATTCTGTCAGAGAAGTAACAAACAGCTTACCAAGAGGCCGAGCGAATGGCCAAGAGCATATCTCGCACGCGTAGCCGGGAAAGTTCTCGGCCCTGGTGGCGCCGCGCTGGGCGCAGACGGCAGACCCGAGATCCCCTTGCAGAGCATCCCAAATCTACATTCCGTGACAGCTGGTCTGTCTGCAAATACATTAAAATCATGAAATTTGAGGGTCCAGATCTAGGATGTCTCGTTCTGCCGCATTCTGAGTCCGCGTATAAGACCTAGTCTCACGCTCGAACTGAAGGTTGCAGCAATGCTGTCACTAGCAGTGCAAGTTCTCACAGTGTGGGACAAGCAATCTGTTTACACTTCTTTACAGAACAGGACGACTTGCAACTGCAGACAACGTCACATGACGCCAGAACGGTGGTCTTGACCGTGCATAAATCGCTTGTCGAAACAATGGAGACTTTTCGCCTGAGCCCCGCAAGTGCGTGGGTGTGCGCACGGCGTCCTGTTGACAAGCCGTGAGCACAAGATAGCACAAACCAACGTCTCAGGTAGGCATGGGCAGTCGCGGATGTGGCTTCAGAACAGGATGCCTCGGTACCACAAGTGGGCAGAGAATTTCGATCCTTTCTCGCGGGCGCTGTGCATCCGTGCATACAAGATGCACAAGGTTGGCAGAATATGTGCCAAGCTCTGGCTCAATGAGCAATGCCTCGGATGTCTCGCGTTGGCGGAGAGCACGGCAGCAGAAAAAATTGGAGTTGGCACCTCTCGAGGCTGCCTGGCTTGCGATGGCTTCCAGGCCCTGGCAAACGAATCTTGGGGGTTGTGCTGGTACTGGGCACTTCGTGATGGTGCGAACTCTGCAGAATTTTCAAGTCTGTGGCAATGTATAAACGTATCCTCCCTGTGCTGACGGCAAAGATCTTCCTCGTGACTGGCGGGTGCCGATCACATGCACTCTGCTTCTCCAGCCTAGAGGACGTCATGAGAAGTCCGCGAGGAGCAGCTAGTCGAAGGCTGTTCCGGGGCTCCTTGATGCCCTTGCACAGAAATCAGAAATCGAGAGTCATCTAAAGTGAGGCAGGCACTTCGCCAGGCCCCCTTGCGGGCACCGCCAGAAGCTGCTCTCCAGCTAGATTCCGCTTTCTCAGCGTGTCTGTAGGTCTGAGTGGAACGCCTTCGGTTCTGGGCAATGACATCACTTCAAGCACAGCGACTTTGCTGGCCTCTGTACACGAACCTAACTTCCACGTCGTCCCGCGACTTCGGAAGCATGGGCTCGCGATATGGTTTGGCAAATGTCTTCGCTTCCTCGGCTGTGGCGGTGGCTACTGTGCGCGAATTGCAACATTTGCACCGTGACGTATGGCGAGGTGTTTTGAGAAACTTAAGCACATTCAAGGCGCAACGAGACCTCTGCGGATGTCTTCAGGGACTGCATCTTCACTCAGCTGCAGGTCGTAATGGCCCTGAAATGACACGGGACCCGCAAAGCAAGAAAGGCCCGCGGAACGTACTTCCACAACGTCTTCTCCTTGCGTGGCGTGACCACGGTGATGCGGACCATTCCCTGAGGGTGCAGAATCCAGCAAAGCAACATGTGAAGGCTGCTTGAAAGGTCCTCCGGAGGTGGCGGAAGCGCCGCAGAAAGCGGTGGGCGTGTTGGTGGCAACAGCCCAGCACTGTGCTGATTCGCACAAGCCTTCAGTCATCCACTGCGCTTCCGACCCTTCAAAGCATGAAAAAAGCCTGATTGGACGGCTGATCAGCAAGTACATCTGCCCTTGCCTGCACCAGGATCTTTGCCTGCGGCGAAGCATTCGCCTTGGAAACACTCCAAAACGCTATCCTGTCTTGTCAGCCCTCGGATCGATGCTGGGCCTGGGACAGCTTTGCGTGCCCGGCACCAGGTGCTAGGGGAGGCATCAGTCATGGCTACGAGGCGCTTAGTGGTCTGCAAATCCATGTGTTGGCTGACACCAACCAAAAACATCACCTATTTTTCGGTCTTTGTGGTGTGCCTGTGCCTGCACGACATTGGACGAGCATGGTCAGAGTGCCTTCTTGTGCTGCGCCGACCAGGCAATCTTCATATAAGCTTCTGCAACAAGTCTCGTAAGCCGAAGGCACCTTTGGGCCCCTGGAAAAACTTCTGCAGACCCGATCCTACAGCTTCAACAAAGTGAGTTCCTCGCTTCGTGTTTGACATCGCAGGTCTGTAGAACTATCGTCAGTCATGCACTCTCACCACCGACTCATGCTCCAGATTCCCTTGCTGCACCCAGACCCTTCAAATCAAAACTTGTGGCCTGAATTCTAGATGTCTTTAGGGAGCCCTTGACTTGGCCAGAACACGGCCGAAGCAGTGGTACGCTGCAGTATTCAACTCTTCTGGCTGTGAAACTACACATCTTTGCGGCTTTGGCGACTGCGGTCTGGAGTGAAGACTGCGGAAAATCACGCTTGCAGCGGTCCTTTTAAGCTGGTGTCGGAGGTGAAAGCACTAGCCTGTCGTGTTCTGGTAGTGCTGTCGCTCAGCATCACCACCGCGGTGCATCGTCAGGCTCCTTAGACGAGGCAGCCTGTGCACTCCAAAACTGCGTCCGCCCTTTCTGGCATCCGCTGCCAAGCGGCGGAAGCCAGCGCGCGCCTGGACGGGAGGAGACGGGCGTCGAAAGAAGAATCCGTGGTTTGGACTCAAACCGCCCGGCCGCCCCGGCCTCTTGGACGTTCCCAGCAGTGCGGAAATCAAAAAGCCCCGCTTCTTTGGCACAAAGGCTTCTAAGGCTTCTGGCTCCTCCATAAACTGCGCACCACAACGCATCACCTGATACCACCTGAACTGCCAGGTCCTCTGCTTCAGGCGGGGAGTCCTGCGATAGAAAGCATAACGTCAATGTGGACACGGTAGATTCTCACATTAGCTGACCAAACAGACCTGAAAGGCAAATTCGAGGGCTTCTGTTGCCTTGGTTTCCAACTCCACATCCACGGCCACCTGCATATCGTGATTGCAGAGGGGGTGTGTGTCTGGCAGAAGTATGAAAGAACAATAATGGCTGCACCTCGACTGTGTCAAGCTCCGCCTAGCAAAGATGAGAGAGTCATCTGTGTAGAGCATGGACAGACCGAAAGACCGAGGAGCCTCCATCAGTTTAGAGAGTCTTCCGACATGTTGTCAGTTATGGGTAGGCCAAGACCAAGAAACAAAAAGTGCAAGAATGCTAGCAGACAAGTCGCACCCTCAGTAGAGAGTCAAAAGGAAGACTGGTCTCGAAAAAACAGGCCTTGCCTTCATGAAGGTCCGTGAAGACTCAGCTGCCTGAAAAGGCGGCGATCCTGCCTGCGCTGTAGAACACAGATTTGCAATCATTTGCAATGGCAGAAACACGTTCAAGTGCAGTCTTTCTGGTCATGTCGCGCCTTTCCGGATCCTTTACCAGCTGTGTTTGCTTTGCCTCTGGTTTCGACGTCACCTGTCGGAGATCCCTTGAACCCTTGAACTGCGCCCTCGCTCACCCTCCGAGCCTCGAGTGCTGGCTTTTGGCCGCTTTCCTCTCGGAATTCGCTCAGAAAGCCCTCAAAAGCTCAGCGCTTGCAAATGCTTCCAAGGCACCCTTGCCACTCGACACACTCCCTGCAATCAACATGCTCGATGAGCAGACATGGAGCTGTCGCTGTCATGTAAGTGGGGTGGCGGAAGCTCGGCCTGAGTTGACGTGACCGGCTGACATCTTGCCTGGAGCATTTAGAGAAACGTTGTCGGCGAAATCTTTGGCACCAACTTTTGGAAACACTGCTTGCATCTAGAGACAGGCGCAAAGCTGCGAACCCTGTCGCATTCATTCGTTGAAGCCGCATGTTTAATTTTCACTGTGCTCCGGGCCTGCGCTTTTCGCAGCAACCTGAGCGACTGGGTCAAGCTAAGCGCGTCTTGCAGAACTCCGGGCAAGGGCTCCACATCACGTCACACCATGTGACCATGTGAAGTCTCCGAGGTTTGCAGCAGGGCACAGCTGAACCCTTAAACCCTGACAAACTGACCAATTTTGCTACGGCTCAGTGCTTCCTCCTTTGGATTTCTGGCTGCCCTTTCCCACATCCTCCAACTGGGTCTTTCCGCAGCCCTTGTAAATACCTGCGGTGTGAAAAGACAAACGTCTTGACTGCCACACCCGACTCTGAACAAAATTCTCAACCAAAAGCCCTGCCCACTTTAGCGCAAATCCCGGAAGACCGCACTCGCATCTGCCTTTTCTGCTTTTCCCAGGATCTGCAAACTTGCTCTTGCCTTTCCTGTCAAAGCCACCTGCATAAGCTGAGCTTTCAACAACCGATAGAGCACTCAGGTACAGAAGAGTGATCCAGGTACCTTTGGTTCCCTTGTTGGCCAGCTCTTCCGGTGACGGCGCGACGACAGTCTGGTAGAGCGGGAAGCACACAGGTTCCCTTTGCACCGTGTGCAAGACGGAGCTTGCCTTGTCTCCAGTTACATCCTCCACCGTGTATCTTCCTGGGCCGATTCCTTGAACGACCCGGAACCTCAAGCGTCGAGGATTCTCGCCATTCGAACAGCTACTTGTGGCCTATGCTTGGACAAGACGAGGTCCGCACTGATCTGACCGTGATAGAAGAAAGCGGATGTAGGAGCCCAGGTGTGGCTGCCATTCACTACACAAACCACCCGAAATCTGCACAAGAACACAGCACCGCAGTCACGCCTTGAAAAGCTCATCCCAATCCTGCTATCCGGCTGAATCGAGTCTTGCAGCATCCGAAGCAGGGTCTTTTTGCAGTAAAGGGTTCACTCCAGTCCTCTGGAATGAAAGGGCGACCATCTGATTGTGCTCCAGGTTGTCTGAGGCCCTTCTTGATGCGACAAATGGCCTCGACCAAGCATCTGGTCACAAATGTCACCGGGCTGAGCGTCTGAGATCGCAGCTTTGCAGGCCAGGTCACGCAAAGCAATCTCTGCCCGTCGTCTCACTATGAAAGGCTGGCCTGCTTTCAAGGCACGAGCGAAAGTCGACCGAGCTAAGTGGCTCTGATCTCGTCCAGTGTCAAATCTAGCACGAGGAAGCCCCGGAACCTGAAGTTGAAGCATCTGCAGGCCTCAGACGGACAGACACAGACACATCCCAACGCAATCTAACTCTACACATCGCACCCGGCCAGGCCCGGCACGGGGATGGCCTCTCCTCTGAGGGATCAACCTCCTGGCGAACGTGTCCGCGGTTTGAAAAACGAAAACGCGAGTAGCAGCTTCATTCACTGATCAAAAAACTCTTTCAGCTGCCTCTTCCACTTCGACTTCAATCTCGACTTCCTCGGTTTCTTCCGCTCCTTCGCCATCACTGGCCTCGCCTTCCGAAATCCACCTCACCAAGAAAATTATCTCATTTCTGCACGCCTCCTGCAAGTTTATTCCGAATCGAGGCTGTCATGCTGCGTGGATCCGCCGCCTGGGGTGCCCTGTTTGTTGTGCGAGCAGAGACGTTCCAGGAGTGATGCCCATCAGCTCTGCCTGGTGCCAGAAGGTTTCTTCCAGTAAAAAATACGATCAGATATTCCCCGAGATCTAGCATGGTAATTTCGACTTCGACATCTGTCCGGTATCCGTCTCTCCGCAAACAACTCGGGTTGCATGATGCTGCGGGGCCGTGTGGCTGCGCCTGGCGTCGGACACGAACCCCTTGCTCCAGCTTTCTGGAGTTGGACGACCTTTGTACGACCCAAACATGGAAGCATGCAGAGGCACATATGGGCACACTAGCATGGAATTAGGCTTTTGCATCCCACCGAATGTTGCCAGTGGAGTTGTCAAGACTTGCGATTTCATGTCCTGCTGTCTTGGATAGTTGCCAAGGGCCCGTCGTCCGGAGCGAGCTGCTGGTATTCGACCTGAGAACATGGAAACACAACTGTGTTGTCAAGAATGAAATCGCACACGACACTCGGTGACGCACGGGCCCGAAAAAGGTATTGTCGGGCTCAAGTCGGCAACCATGCCGCATGATTTACACAGGTGAACCACATACCATGATTTCCGACAACTGAAACGGTGAAACCTACCAACTTGGCATACACGATGATTGACACCCTACCTGTGCTTGCAAATGGCCGTCATCTTATCGCAAATGTTGCCATCAGAACCCTTGTTTAAGTTTCTTTCCACGAGCATTACGAATACGAACTTGTTCTGTGCAGCTTCGAATCTAAGACTGCGCACTGGGGGGTGATGGGTCGCAAAATCATGTTGGATTGAAAACTAAACCGCAAGCTCAAAACGAGCTAAAAGTCAGTGTCAAAAAACACAAAACGATACTTCTACACCAGATCTGGCAATAAACAAGGGTGACGAATCAAAAAACAATATTTATTTCCAGTTCCACAAACTGCAACACAAATCGAGCAATATCTGCACTGGTCAAATATAGTATTCCAGACAAATTGAATCAATCAATATCTGAAGTCTTCCATAATCAGCTCGGTCACAGACTCACGCTCGCTTTTATTCTGGATATCGCACAATGCCGTGGGGCTTCTCGAGTAAAGTTTTGCTCAAGAGCAAGACTCCGCCACAAGGTCACACCTCCAAGAAGTGGCACAAGGGCAGAAATCAACGAGTACACATGTGCACCCGTAATCACCCCGGGCGGGTGGGTGGGTCAAAAATTTATCGCATGCCCTTTACTCCTTCGAGCATGCAATCCTGCGATACAACAAATTCCCTCATGACACATGGGCACCTTCGATTTGTTCATGCACTCAACCGTGTTCACAAGCATGAAAATCGGTTGTTGTGAAAAAGGAAATAAAATGATAATCACAAGTGATGAAGTCACTTATTTCCAGTTCCACAAACGTGCAACACAAATCGAGCAATATCTGCACTGGTCAAATATAGTATTCCAGACAAATTGAATCAATCAATATCTGAAGTCTTCCATAATCAGCTCGGTCACAGACTCACGCTCTCTTTTATTCTGGATATCGCACAATGCCGTGGGGGCTTCTCGAGTAAAGTTTTGTTCAAGAGCAAGACTCCGCCACGAGGTCACACCTCCAAGATGTGGCACAAGGGCAGACATCAACGAGTACACATGCGCACCCGTAATCACCCCAAGCAAAGTGCGCATGTCGGAAATTCATCAAGAGAGCAAACGAACGTTCTGGAGCTCCATCTGTTTGAGAAGCGATTCGCAGACGTTCCGGCTTGGATCATCTTTTTTTTTCGACTTTGAACCGCAGTGGTCTGGTCTGACCTACTCGCGAGCTTGTTACACGGTCTATTACCGCGGCCACTCA